CCCCGACCCGCCGCTCCCAGCCGCCGCTGGGGGCGCTGGCGCACAGGCGCGTCGCTCCGCCGGGCGCTGTCGGAGGTAAAGCCCGAGCTGGCGTTTGCTGCCGCTGCACCGGGACTGGACGGGAGGTGGCGGGGACCCCCCGCCGCCCGTACCGACGGCGCGGTGTGTGTGGGGGGGACACGGACGGACACACGACGCGCTATAGCGACGTGCGGCCCCGGAGCTCCGCCCGCGGGCCCGCGTCAGGTGCAGACGGGGCTGCCCACCCCCTTCCCGGCGGCCGGTGGGTGTTTGCGCGTCGCTCCCCGCAACACGCACGCACAGACACAGACAGACAGACAGACGGAGACCCCCTTGCCCCCGCACCTGAAGGCTCAGGGGTCCCCCCCGTGGACGGTTCCTCCCCGCCGCCCGGCCCTCCGGTGCTGTGGGAGAAGCCGGTGCCTCTCCGCCTTTCTCTTTCCTCTGGAGAGGGGAAAATCCAGCGCGGGGTTTGCGGGGAGCTGAAGGAGCGCCGGCGACCTGCCGGCGAGGAGGTGAGGGAGGCAGGCCGGGCCGCCCAGCGCGGGGGGGAGGCGGAGAGGGGAGCCGAGCCGAGCCGAGCCGGCGGCGGCGGCTCTTCGGCAGCGCTTTGTTACGAGAAGGGAGAAAGCCGGGGAGGGGGGGGGGCGGCAGGGGGGGGTTGCCCCCGCCGACGGCGCAGAGCGCGGTCTCGGCGGGCGCTGGGTTGACAGCGTGACCGTTTGCCGTTCCTCCCGCCGCGGTAGATGTCCCTGAACCCGCGCCTCAGCCGCAGCCTGCATGCCCGCCCTGGGTGGAGCGGTCTTCTTTGTCGAGCCGGGACCTGCTCTCCTTTCTCGTTCGAGCAGAAGAGGAGCTAGCGAGGAAATAAAAAAAACGAGCTCGAGTTAATGTTGGAGAAGTTCGGGTGCGGGAGAGTCTGGTAGGATTCCTCTTTATGCCTGTTTTTTTTGATGAATTGCAGACAATCGTTCCAGATAACAGCCTACGTCCATTACCTTTCTTCGCACAAACTGCTTTGGCTATCCTCCATAGGTAGCGGGATGACCCGCTTAGAACGTGTCTGTGCGTGTCCATATATAATGTAATGTTTTATAGATTTTTAAAAAGATCCATTCGCATGTATACCTATATAAAATTTGCCAGGAGAAATTTAGGCAAAGTACTGTGAATTTTTACTAATAGATTATTTTGTTCATTTGCTGGATGATCCATAATAACTATTAATTTGTATTGAAACGGGGAGGGGCGAACACCCAAAGAGATTTTGTTTTTTTTTTTAATCTGAGTATATGCAACACAATTTCCCTGTAGATCTCATTCATATTTGTAACATGCACCTAATTACCTAGTGATATCAAGTCTCAAGGTAGACGGGGTCAGGCCTGGAACGCTCTGATGGAAGGAAGCTCTGTGAGGAAAACCTAGCTATTTGAGGAAGAAGGACACTGTTTGCTGCTGGTTCTGTCATTCAAATGAAACATAAACCTGTTGTTGTGACTAGTTTGGGTCATTGCGTTTCCATGCCTTTCTTTTACCCTCAAACACTGGATGGAAAGGACAAAATTATGATTGATTTCCAGTGCTGTTAATTACTGACTATGCTTAAAGCTTCATCTGCAATTTAAGTTAGATAAATAAATTGTCTTTTTTTTCAATCCTTAACTATTTCTGGTAGTAATCCTGTTGGCATTGGTAAATGAATCCATTTTCACACCATAAGTGACCACAGTTTGCTAGCAAACTATTTTCTTTGGGTTTGCTTAGTGTAACCTTAACATTTGGGTTAAGTTTTCCACCATAACTTTCTCTTTGCATTTTCTTATGCCTAAAAAAACATTTCAGGGACTGAAAATGCTCACACATGCCAACCTGAAGTGATTTTTTTTTTTTTTTTAAATGGGCTTCTTTGCAACTGGTTGGAATTTGGGTGTATGTTTAGGTGTGTGCAAGCAAAACAATACATATGTACATATTTATGAACATATGTGCACTTCTTCACTTGTGTAGGTTTTTTTTCAAGCTATTCTTCCAGCAGTACACAGCACATCCTTATAGTCTTTAAAAGAAGAATGGGACACAACATTTCAAGATAAAAAATGAGGAATTGAGAGATATTTTTGTTATTTTAAAGTGATAAAGGTTTGTGTGAGAGAACAAGTACTTAGGACACTGATTTGTTTTAAGGCAAGTTGTGAATTGAGCCGTGCCAGGAGAAGATATTTAGGATAAAGTACTTCCTTACTGCACATGTCTTAGAGCCTGGGCACCTGTAGGAGCGGGAGAAGCCTCCCATCCTTTGTTTCTTAGAACTTAACGGTGCAGCTGTCCTCATGTGCCTACATATTCCTGAATCAATCCTGTTTATGGTAGGAGCTACAAACAGTAAACTACTTCAATTTCAGCACAGATTCCTAGATGCTGAATTATATCCTGGGCATGTGTCCTGAAAAGATCTTTTAGCCTTGAAATGGAAATTGTTTGGGCTTGTGAGAGTCCTTTCTCATATTCCGCAGAGGAGCCAGTGCGCTGCCAGAAGGTGATTGAAATGCGTAAAGAAAAAGAGGTGAATATAAATATATGGTGGTGTTTTGCTGCAACTTCTCAGTATTCTAAGTTCTCTGATATCTCAGAGTGCTTTCTGTTCACCTGATTGAAAATGGGCATTAATATATTGAAACAAGCAGGCTAAGCATGTAAGAGCTTGAAAAGAATCTTCAAGAACTCTTTTCTTCTGTGTAGTAAGTGCATTAAACTGCTTTCACCAGTTCTTGAGTTGTTTTATGCATCCTAGATCATAATCCTGGCTTTTTCATGGAAAGGACACAAGTCCAGTACAGTGTGTACGTGTGGGAAAAAATAGTTAGGAATGTGTAGGGGGGAAGGGAAGACTAATATATTGTATTCTTCTCAGAGTAGGACCTGCATTTCTGATCTTAAATGTACAGTATTTGAGCTTACAACTGGGGATCTCTGATGCTACCACAGTAAAAATAATAGCAATAAATGATAGCGTGGTATGAAAGTGATACTTAAGGGTTTGCTGTGGCTCCATCCATGAAAGTGAACTTTTATCCTAGTACATAGGTTGTTAATATATGTGAAGTCACATTTGGAAACGTTTAAAATATTTACTGATATCAGTTGATCTCTGCCAGTCTGTGTAGCTAAATATTTAGCACCTGGAATCCAGAAGTCCCAGTATCATTGTTTAACTTTTTGAACTTAGTCTCCAAAGTCCTTGAAAATCCATTGTTTTCCTAATTAAAGGGATTTTCTACACACAAACATATCATAGTTTTTGGTCTGAGATTCTCGCACCTTTTCAAAGCTAGAAATAAGGTTTACATGCATCAGCAGAAGGCAGAATCAGCCATTTCTGATCACATGGAGCCTCTGATCCTGGTTTTTCATGGGCATAAGCTATTGGACCTTATGACTTGCTGGTGGGACTGCTTTTCATGCTGTTCTTCAGTGAAACTGAGGCTACAACACATTGAAGCATCAATATTTAGCCCCAAGAATTTCATTTCAGCAGCTATCTAAAGCAGCCTTCTTGTTTGGAATGGTACAGTAAGTACGTAAGTAAAATTGATTAGTAGATAGAGTCTGTTTTATTATAGGTCTCTCTTATTTTACACGTTTTGAGAGCTGTTTCATGGAGCGAAGTTTTCAGTATCTCTTTGTTAGGATGTCCATTTCCTGACTTTTTGCTTATTTTTTAAATTCATTTTTTATTTAAGGAACTTCTGAAGCGGATGTTCTCTTCTGTCTGTTAGACCTAGACATTATAATGATTGGTATGTGATACTTTCAGGTGTGTTTATATACACTTAGTTTGTTCTGTGGGATCGTAGGTGTTTACAGTTTCCTGTCACCAACACGTGGGGTGACTAAGTTTTCACAGAGAGTAATAAATAACTTGATATAGTGTGATGGAGGAGATGCTGGATCAGGGAACTGTTGTCTTTATGCTCAACCACCCAGCTCTCTTCCTTCTTCCACCATTTTCTTTCTTGCAAAATAAAAAAGCTGTTCTGCGAGTAGTAGAACTAATAAAGTCTGGTTCCCTA